TCATGGCTTTCAATGTTTGTGTTGTAGATTCTCTGTGAAATCTGATCATTTAACAAACAACATTCTTTGAAGTAGACAACAGACATACACACATCTCTTAGATACATGCATGAGAGCAAAATAGCCAAAGAAAGTGAATGAGACGGGGAGCAGCTGTAGATTTACTCTTCCCATTGGAGAGTTTGGCCTCTGAGGGAAGCCATGTGGAGCAGCATGGCTCTCCCCTGGGCTCTTACAGCTACAAATACCTCTGCTCTTTCTCTCTGTCTCACGCTCTCTTTCTCCCTTTACTCATCTTGCCTCCATCTCCATCGATCCTTGCATCTATCTCTTTCTGCCATCCTTGTTCTCCATGCTACTGTATCTCTCCTGTGTCCAGCTTCTGACCTTTTGCCACAGTCAAACTGGAATATGAAATTAACCTTTTATATCTTCTGATATATTTCTCTCTTATCATGCTCTTTCCTTTCTACTACTGCATATCTGTTCCTCTACCTCCAACTCTGTTCTTTACTCTTCTATGCTCTGTTGTATTACTTCTCTCCTGACTCTGTCTGCCCATCTCCCCTGTTTTCCATTTAGTGCTTCCCCTCTTGTTTCTTACTCATCTTTTTTATCTCCAGTTATTCTGTTATTACACCTAACAACACACACTAGCACAATTAGACATGCACACAAGAGTGCATTTGTTTTTCCTTTTGCTGGAAATAAACTAATGCATTTCTGGATAAAGCTTCCATCATTTTTTACTAAACAATCCCCACCCACTCTTGTATCTCTCTCTTTATCATCCTACTGTTCATTTGTATAGGCTAAGTTTTAATGAGAACTACAACCATTGTGATCATGCTGAGTCAGAGGATTGTTTTTCTCCCTTTCCGTTAATCCATCTGCTCATAATTTATGTCTCTCTCTGTCTTCAGTCTCTTTTCTGCTTCTCATACTGACCCTTCACATCTCCCCTATTTTTACTTTCTTGCCATCCCTTTGAGTTGGGACTCATTATAGCGAATAGGTAACCAGTGTTCTTGAATGTGGACACATCAGAAACAAGGAAGGGAAAGATAAGACTGGATGTCGGTGTTAATGATCATTTAGACATTACTACTCTTGTGAGAATTGCTTTGTTGTCTGGGGAGGGGGAAGGCAGTGTGCTCTGAATGGCCCATTGATTCCAGACGTGTGGAGCCTTTACAAACACATGCACACAATCACATGCACATACACACATGTGCATATACACACACACAGGGAGTCTGAGAGGCTCTGTGAGGTTTAGCAGAGCCTGTCTCATCTTCCCTGTCTATCCTTTAAGCTATGCTCTGCTTTCTCACTAAATGCATGGTGGGCTGCTGGGCTGCCCAGGCAGAATGACAACTAAGATTGGTGAGAGCAGGGCAGAAATATCTCTCTGTGGGGCTAGTAGGTACGACTCCACTGCCATCCAACACTCAGCTCCAAACCTTTCTGTGTTCTCTGTGGTTGCAGTGTAATGATCTCATACATCAGTGTGCATGAACAGTAGAAGGTGCCCAAAATGAGAAATATTATATTATGTTCCCTATTTGGCTGTTGGAATATTGATAGGCACAGTAGTTGTTACGGTCATCATTAGGACGTTTTTATGGTCAACTGGGATGAAGATATAGCCAACCAATATGTATCAGCAATGCTGCCTGCAGATAGTATTAGACGTTTTTGTCCCCTACTATTAGATTTCATGATTCTTACAAATTCCTTCCCCTCTTTGCTTCTTTTTCACACAGAAGCACCTCATTTTTTAAACCACTCCACATGCATCCATAGATCCAATTTAGAGTCTCCTCGTGTCTATATATATTTCTTCTTCCCCCCTATTAAGGCTGCAGGGGAGCGGTGGCTCTCCCCAGGTCTCCAGTGGTCATCCAGTGACAGAATGAACTCATTATGGTGTGGAGCCAGGATATCTATACTACAATAAGTAAGAGGGAGACTAATGAGCAGTTAGATCTACGGGGAGTGTGTTATGCACTCCCATTAACCATACTGTGTAGTGCTAAATTTGCAGAGGAACACTGGCTTCTAATCAATTGTCAGAAACAGCAACTTGCAGTAGCTCTGTAATGAACTGTTATGCCAGTTTAGAGAGGTTAGCTGTCACTCAAGGAGCGGTCTCATAAAACCAAGCTCTAGTTTAGAGTGGATTTGATTGTGGTGTTGCTTTCTTTGGGAAGCTTGATAACCTCCTTGTGTACGTATTTAGAGAGATGGTTACACAGGAAAAAAAAAGGAAAATAGCGAAGGGTAATTAGGTGTCTTTCCTCACACACCCCTCATAACCCTCCCCCATATCTCCCAAAGGGGAGAGGAGCCTCGTCAAAGCCCTGTCATGAATTTTTAACAACCCTGTCGGTCTGCTCTCTTAGGATGTGCATATGTGTGTGTGTATGTCCAGATTTGCATGTGTATGTTCTTATGTAGGAAGTGGGTGAGGGAGAAGGATATATTGCTGTAGTCCTATATTCTCCATTAATGTCACAAATTGCCGGAGTATGATGCATTATGTATCAAGTATCAAATCCTGTATCATATCACATGCAACATCATGCCGCTAGAAATCCTGGACCAACCAGGAGATCTGTAATCAATATCCATATGTTCATGCACAGCTGTAGTACTTTACATATTCATTTAGCAAATTTGACATATTTTAAAGGGGGTCTGGACTTGCATAAGTGATAAATCTCAGTTAGCTCAATGGTGCGACATTACATGATGTGATGTTACAGTGACATTAGCTGACATTAACCTAATGACAAGACCTCCTGCACTTAGCATTTTCAGCATGGGCATGAACTGCTGCTCCCATTTTCCCTCAGGTGGCACATTATTACAGTCTAAAATCTTATCTTTTTTTCATGAAACACTTATGGAACCAAAATGTTAAGAACCCAAACTTTATTTTGAATGTTGTCAAAGCTTCAGTGTTTTTGCAGCTGAGGTGTCACTGAATTTATTTATTAATTAGAAAAGAATGCGATTTTATACAACCACCCGGTTTTACCTGGGTTATCCTCACATATTATTTTGTTAAAACCTCTGAATACACAGTGAAACGCTGGTAAAGCTTTCTTGTACTGATACTTAAGGGTTAAATCTTGTTAGTGCAAAGGTATCAGTGGCACAGGGGCTTGTATGACCAGCACATGGGCTATCGACTGAGATGAAAAGTCTCTAGACCGAATGACTGAAATATTTTAAACACTGCTAATGTCTGATGAAAGCAAGCACCAGCATTGACACAATTTATAAATATAGAACACATGATTTAGTACTCGATGCAGTGATGAAACTTGTTATTTTTGTACATGGTGAACAAGGGTGGGTTTAACTTCATGATCACTGTTTTGTGTTGGTGTGTGTATGTGTGTGTTTATGGCTCAGATGGGGTGTATATTTAGCTGCTGACAGCCAGTGCAGAGGAGGTGGAGACAGGTCTGGAACAGAGCCCAGGACTGGAGGCCAAAGGGATGGGACTGTTGATCAAGAATGGAACCATTGCCGACAGCAGACACATGGTCATAGATACACAAATACACAATCATACCCACACTCAGTAAAAGCACAGAATGATACTATAAGCATGTCTTCCAGTTATTGCTCATGCACAAATCCGACATGCCTGAAATTATACCTCCTCCTCCAACAGATGGACATCAGAAGGAGATAGAGCTTTAAATACAGGTTGCCTTCATCAATTCTAATTGATTCAATTAATTTTAATACATCCTTGAGTGGAGTATCTGTAAGGCTGTGGTAAACTTGCTTTTGTGAGGGAAGTCGGTGTGTCAGACAAGTGGGTTTATTTAAGGGCATTCTCTTCTTCCACATGGCTGTCATTAGTCAGTACAGTTGGAGAAGGGCACGCAAGGGCCAGGCTAAGGTTTGATCAGTGTGGATTTACCTGAGTGAACATGTACAATCTTGTGGAATAGTGTCAGTATCTGTTTCTCTGCCTGCTGTCTGTCTTGGTATCTCACTGTTCTTTTATTCTTTAGCCCCTCATCTTTTAAATGCACTAGGCATTTAGTACTGGAATTCTGAGCAAAATATTTGTAATGTAATTTGAAATGTATGAAACAGTTTAATTTACAGTTCAGTTCAGAGTTTTATAATTGAGAAATCAGATATCAGTCTGTCTCACCCATTTTTTATGTGTCATAGTGCTAGTGTTGTTTTCAGTTTTGGCCTCATTTCCCTACAAAGAAAGGAATAAAGATGGAATCAAACTGTGAAAGCCAGTTAAAAAGTGTAAAAGCGATTGGAAAGCAACCTCTAAACATTATATCCTCAGAATATCCTCACACAATTGCAAGTGCAATTCCAAACTTGTGATGTTTCAGTAATAAATAAATACT